TTCAATTAATAAAAGGGATATATATATGTTGATTTAATTAATTTGTCCTATCCCAATTAATTACTACATGCAATTGCTTCTTCAATAATTTGCTTTGTATTTCATCCTTAGGGTTCTCCCAGGAATTCATAAGCACTCATAGATTCTTAATCAAATTTACTCACAGATCAAACATATAATCACATACATATATTATTCAAGGCACAATAGTTACACATGGCAAATTCATACTAGGTTCGAGTTTAATCTCTCTCACACACATATACATATAACCTAAGGATTGAGGCCAACCCCACCACCCACAATTAACCCACACCCTAAAGTGATATTCTCACTCCCCCTTACTTTGATGGCTGCTAAATTTTAGGTTTGGATCTCTAAGATTTTTTTTAATTGTCTTGGATTGTCCTCATTTTTTAGATCACAAGATGCTCAATTTAATTTCGTGAGGTAAACCTAGTTATTAACATATTTAAATGAAAACCCTAACCTTAATCTTTACCCGCACTTATGGTCCACTAGCAAAAATTTAAATTAATTATCCTCACTAATTTGAATTTAAACAGATAATTAACTACTATAATATTATCTTATCTCTCAAAATATATTATCTCCTAGTTAATTAATTAAAAAATTATTAACAAATTTGGAAAAAAGTGAAATGTTACGAAGAGCATCATCATCAATCATATCCATTACTATATTGTCTAGGCATGAGTTATCCATGGCATTATATTAAGTATTTTTTTTAAACCTTTAATTTCAAGTGGCCCCTCTAATATGCCACACATACAATCAGAGAAAAATAAATACACAACAACATGAAAAATAAAAATAATTTGGACAATTGGTTTAGTGCTTTCAAATTGATTAAACCTTACATAATTATTTTTCAATTTTTAAACTATAAAAATAAACAATAACTTTTGAAAAAAAATAAACAAAAGTAACATGCATGTTAATTCTTTGTTTCATAAAAATAGTACTATCCCAAATTGAAGTATGATTTTTTTATCTTCAAAATTTAAAAATCAATAAAAAATATATTTACCTCAAAGAAAGGAGCATTTTCTATTACTCCAATAATAGACCCAATTCTAACATGGGTCTGTCTCAGCCACGCACATGCTCCCACTTGGATTACACGTGCCGTATGGATATCGCGAGATTGTGACAAAAAATGTATTGTTTGCACTTTCTCTTCTCAGTTCATATTGCAAGATTGTGACAAAAAATGTTCATATTGTATTATATTTATTTACAAATATTGTAATTACTCGGTTTGAAATTTTCTAATCTATAATAATATGGCATTTTCTATTCTGATCTTAAGTTTTATATTTAACTTTTATATCGAATAAAAAATGATGTATTTTTAGTCTCCAATAACACGTTATTTATGATGTTTTAACTTAAAGGAACTTGTAAAGTTAAAAATGAACAGAATTATTAAAGAGCTTTAAATACCTTTAAACTAAATTTTCGTACTTTAAATAATTTTAAGTTAAATATATGATAAAAAAACTCAACAAGTCAATAGTAATTACAATATTGTAATTGAGATTAATCTTAATTAATGAGTTGAGGATTCATATAATAGAAGAAAAAAAGAAGTTAAACACCATTTATAAATATGTTGTTAAAATGCGCTTATCTAAAAAATTATATTTTAAGGAATTACAATATACTATGATATACAGTATTTGGTTTATTATTTAAACTCATCAAAAGTATGTTTCACAGAAGTTACAAAATGTTACTACTTATTTTAATAAATTTGCACATGCAGATATCTATACATGAAAAGTAAACTTGTTAACCACATTTTAGGTAAACTATTTTCTGTAAAACAGTAAGTTTGGTTTGGAAACGTCAAATCAGGAAAAGAAAATAAAGCCACTCCAGTGAACGAGCTTGCAAAAAAAGAAGGAATTGCTCAAACTCAAATGATTGAAGTGAAACAGGACAATATGTATCTGGACAGGAAGGATATAAGTATTCAACTCGGACATTAAGCACCTTATATTTTTTTCATCTTGAATGTTGATTATGAATCTGGACATGTTTTTGGTATCTAACCCACCACATTTCAACTTTATTATATAACTGTGTGGGAGAAGTTGATAAAAAAAAAACGCAAGAGTTTTACGTGTGTAGGAAAGTGGACTCTTTTGAAATCATTTACGATTTTGAGATTCTTGATTACAATATTGTTATGAACTATAACAACTTATATCACAGGTGACATTTTATTATTATTATGAAAACTATGAAGTAAGAGTTGTTATAGTCGAGATCCAATTTAAGTTGTTATCAATTGTAATGATATAAGATGGTTATTTTTTTTGGTGGTTAGAATTCATAATGACTAATAATTTTTCTTTAAAGGTCAGAAAAAATGTATTTATTTATTTAATTTTTAAACAAGTTGTTATGGTTAATGAGTAAAACAGGTTTTTTTAAATTTTAAAAAAATAATTTATTTAATTTTTAACATATTAATGATTTTAATTTTTTGATTTATTTATAATTTTTAATGATTAACAGTTTTTTTAAAATTTAAAAATGAAATTCATTAAATAAATAACATTTTTAAAAATTAATATGATAGATATTTATTTTTATTTAAATAAATAGAAAGACTTTTTTTTTTTATGAATTTAGTGTAACAGTAAAAACATTTAATTATCATAAGAAAAATTATAACAAATATAAATATAAATTTATGAAAATTTGGTTAACATTTTTATTTGTTTTAAAAGAAATAATGTTAACAAATAATTAAATAAATAACATTTTTTAAAAATAACAAATGATAAGCCAAAGACACGCTATTCTTAAGTTAGTGAAGTCTCTATAGCATAAATCAGTACCCTATCCTTCATGGCTTCTTCATTTAAAATAAGCAGCAAATGAGGGCATTTTACAAGTCAGACTGCCATACCAGAAAATTGCATACTAAAATAAATTAATTTAAATTTTTTTCAAAAAATAATAATATTTACTTCATACAAAATATATTTAATTTTAATTTTTCATATATAAAATTTGTTTTATACAAATAAAAATAGTTAATATAACAAATTATATAGTTCATCATATCATTCATAACAACATAATGCATATTATGTTGAAGTTGCTACCAACGGTAACAACTTCAACATAACTAAAACAGCTCCACCAATTTAAAAAACAAAATGTCACATATCATGTGAGTCAATATGACTCATAATAATAATAAATAATTTTAAAGATATAAATAATTTTAAAATAATTCTATTTATATAATTAGTTTATAAAATAACCTACAAGAGTCAAAAAGTCGTTTTACTAGTTAGTTAGATAGATTTCACAAATTACTTTATGGGTTATTTTTATTTTTATTTTTCTGTTTTTGATTACTCTATTCAGATATTGCAGCGGTTGTGCCATGCCATATTGGTTATCCATCAATTAAGAAGCTTTGTCCACAACACTAATAACTATCCAGTTTGTACATCGTACAAATTTATTAAAGAAAAATGTTATTTGTAAAACAAATTGAACAACATATTTGTATAAAAGTTAATTACCTATACACTGTTAGTGTAAAGTTTTTTTATACTGGCAACAAATTATATTTTTTAAATGTATTTACAGTGACATGACACAATTAAAAGATGAGTTAATCATCTATATACTGTTAGTGTAAATTTTTTTATATTGGTAACTAATCATATCTTTTAAAATTATTTATTTTATTATTATTTCATTAAATAAGCAACTGATATGTCACTATTAAAATATATGATTGATTGCCAATATAAAAAAACTTTACACGGACAATATATAAGTGATTAACTCTTAAAAGATATAATTAGTTGTCGGTATAAATTTTTTACACTGATAGTGTATAAGTGATTAACTCTTTGTATAATGTCATTTTTTTTGTCTCAATCATAAATTTATGTAACATGCAGAATTGTTGCACAGTTGGTGTTAAATATAAATATAAATATAAATATATATATATATATATATATATATATATATATATATATATTTATTTGCAGCTTGCAATCCCTGTATACGGTTTCAATCGTTTACTCATTATCATCGTTGTAATTTTTCTTTATTTTATATAATAATATATAAGTAGAATCGAGTCGGATTAAAAATAAATTACCTTAAGAGTTTCTTAGAGCGTGGACTATAGATGTATTACATCATTCTTCTTTGAATAGAATTTTCTGATTTAAAAACGTAAATAGATATTAAAGCCCGATTCCGTATTGATGTATTAATGTCCAATTGCCATTGTTCTGCTCCTAAGAACTCATATGCAGAGCACGTTCTTATATAGGTAAAAGTAGGAGCCCAGAGGCCTGCAGGAAAAAACACGTTGGAAGCAACTTAACTTTGCTAGCTGAAATATGCATTTTCATCCTGCTTAACATAGTTTATTGATCAGGTGTAACTCTCAGGTGAAAACAGACTCCCAAGTTTCTGTTCAACTAAACTAGATCAGTAGATTGCCTTTGACAGAAATGGATAATTCAACATCCAACAATAGACTAGCCATTATATAGCACACTACAAAAACTAAATCATCTAGGTGTTTCATAAGTGGCTTGAAAAACATTAAGAACCCTTACCAGGAATCGAGTCTCCTGCCACAATCATAAAGACAATAAATATACATAAAGTTAATAAAAGGTATAGCAATCGGAGATAGCCGAAGAAAGCATACTTCTAATATCAAATCAAGAATTAGCGTATGAAGAAACTACTGTACTTTATCATTTCATTACACATTTAGTTACACAATGGGGTTATGCACCATTAGTTCGTATAAAATTTGTTTTTATTCTTTTAACAGAGCAATATATAGTTGTTATATTTGAAAGAGTATTAGATTGCAATATAATTAAGAGAGAAAGACGTGAAAGGAAATTTGTACACAAAAGAACATCACCTTTATATATATAGTTATTGAGTAGTTAAAGATAATAACATCAATATGAAAACTATGACAAAGGTGAATAACACATTGCATTAAACTAGTTTAGATACCTGGGCTCATCGGCCCATGCCTGTCATTTACAGTATGAAACATCAATGCTCAATACTTGAACCCCCTCACCCCAAAATGAAAAAAGAAAAGAAACATTTACGCTCAACAGAATTACCCTCACTATACACTTCATTGATTTTACGTCAACTATTTGTTTTGGGCTACCAGAACACATCAATAGCCACGTGGAACGCATTTTAATTATAGCCAGCTATATCATTAGTATGCCTCTTTACATTTTCTCACTTCGTATTGGTCACAACTTCTATGAACTCCTTTTTCCCTCGGTGCCGCAAGGGAACGTGGAAATACTCTACAGCTATTTGAATAGCCAAAGAGGGAAGGAAAAAAAGGTCAGCTCAACCCAACCGCCCAAGACAACTGGAATATAGTTTATGCTGAAAATGTCAAACACCATTCACTTCTGAATCATTCTGCAACTTGCACGTTTAAAACTATGATCAGGCCGGCTAAATTAAATGTTTACAATAAAAGAACAAAAAGATAAAATAATTATTAAGGAAAATTATATTTAAACTTAAGTGATATTGCAACATATATTTCCTCCCTCTTTTGACCCTACCCAAACTTTCCTCAATTACTATCTATGTTGAACCAATATACGACATGTATTCGGAACAATGATATGATTATTTTAAAATATATAGGATACGATACATGTAAGATACATGTCATCATATGCATCAATATTCATACAATATAATAAATGTATACTTGTAATTGTGATCAAAATTTATAAACATTAAATATATAATTACTATTTTGCAAATCCAAATTAAAAACATACTTATTGTACACTACTAAAAACAAATAAATTATAAATCATTTCATCATAAATTACTTCTTATTATTTACAAATAGAAATAATATTCTCAATTTCATTTCTTTCTTAAAATTATCTATATAGAAGACAATTTTCATTTACAGTTCATCAAGGACCAATATTTCTATGTTTCTACATCAAACATGTTTATATATCTTATTTAGCTGCAATGGATATTTTATAATTTTTTAAAAATTTGAATATTTTATCGATACATATCACCAATAAATATCGGTAAAATATTTGAGAGTTTCAAATTAAATAAAATTTTCATAGTATTTTTAAAGGCTATGATACTTCACCGACATGTATCGGTGAAAGATCCAAGAGTATCGTATCGGATACGGATACGTGAAACAAATTGAAGTACCGGTACTTCATAAATTACTATCTACTATAATAACGTAATCTCTTCCGATTAACATAAACCTCCCCTAATTAAATTCTGTACGGAAAGGAGGGATATTCGGTGCAAGTCACTCATGTTCAGGGAATATGAATTTAATTTGTCCTAATTTTTAATAAATAACAGCTAACATAATTTACCTCCATTCCTTGCAAAAGATTTTCAAGTTCAACAGTTATCTCATTAAAGGATGGACGGTTGCTTGGAATTGCTTCCCAACATCTTTGCATCAAATCTAAAAGTTGAGGGTGCCCATGCTTTGGTAGTTCTGGTCGCAGTCCCTGAAGGATGTACAGCATCACAGCTGGGTCAGACAGACAGACACAAAGTGGATGGTCCTAGTTGAAAATTGCAACTTATACACACTCCCAGTAACATGAATATAGATCCAACATTCCAAACTTAACTTTTACTGCAAATATGCTACCATAAGCATGCATTCATCGAGCTAGCTTAATTATTTCTGTTTAACAAAAACTCTTTTACCTAAGTTTTATTAGTTGTTGACAAATAACTTTTACCATAAGCATAGCATTATGCTTGAATATTCAAGTCTAATTGGTGAGTAAAGAGCAAACCTGTCTCACACCCAAAGCAGCTTGTAGTGGAGTCATGGTGTCGTATGGTACCTGAAATACCGGATGAAAAATAACTTGTTTACAAAGGGATTACCTTGTCATATATAAAAAAGAGAGAAAAAAAAATTAGTTCAAGGAATGGGAAAGGAATATGACCAGAGAATACAATATTATACATCCAATTTAGGCTAACCTTTGCGGTCACCAATTCCCACAGTACAATGGAAAAACTGAATACATCCGCCTTCTGATCATAGGGCTGATGGTTTATAACCTTGTGAGAAAAATCCATCAACAGTAAGATACTTAACAGTAAGACAAGAACAAAATAAAGATATTGAGTCGTCATTTCTTCTGTCCATTTCTTTTCGTTCTAGATTTAGGCAGAGGAAAAGTGGAGAGAAAGTAGAATGTCTATTATGTGCATTATGATTATAGCTTAAATTATTAAAGATGATGAGTAAAACAACAGCATGTTTTCTCCTATTTGGCTAATTCAGAAATGGCTAGGAATTTTTTTCTTAAATTATCCTGATGACACTTTGTTAGGAAGAAGGATTTAGGTCTGTTGCAGAACCCAGGGTGCGAGAGTTTTGAGCAACTTCTTATTAGCATCAGAAATAGTTTGCATGAGTAATGAGGACAGTTTCATTTCAGAAGACTACATCCATTTCTTTGCTATAATGTATTATGGACACCAAGGAGATATACGTGTATATATTTATTATCAGATAGGATTGTATTTATGCTCACTTTGGGGATGACCATATGGAAAGGTTTCTTTTATCCAGGGGATCTCATTAACATATTTACAGAGAAATTACAGAACTCTTCTATATTAATAAATGAGTTCTTCCAAATCTATATTTTCCCTCATTCTTTGGGAGCTCTCCTTCACCCTGATAAAGGCAAAAGATCCATAAACATACCAATTATATAAACAAGAACATGATACAAGACCAAAAACATTTAATAGAAATAAAAAATCTGTGCACCAATGACGACAATATTATTCTGAGATTTTATTTAGACATATCACAGCACAAAGCATGTGTTGTTTTCATCAGATGTACAAATTTGATTGCAAAATTAAATTATTGTAAATTTGTAATTCCTAAGAGAATCTCATGGTTTATCTTGAACAAGAAAATGCAAATTAAATTTGTAGAGGCCAATATAAGAATGTACATAGAACAAGTGAAACTCTCAAGTAGTCAGCAAAAGAAATATTTAGTCGCTATTATTAATCATTAATAACCCAACACCCTTAACTTTTACAATATCTATTACTTGGACATTAACATTGATATGTAAATATTAAAAAGCACAACAGTTTTTTTTTTCTTTTCTTTTTCTTTTAAATAACGAACCTCTGGTGCCATCCATCTATATGTTCCAGTTTCTGCTGTCATCACTCCCCCCTGATTTAGGAAGCGAGCAACTCCAAAATCTGCGACTTTAACGACCTAATTGGAAAAGGAAAAAATATTGAAAACTTAATAGAATTTTATAAAATACATATATGCTACTCCAAAATAAAATAAATGTTATGCCAGCCACATCAAGAAAATTTAAATGATTCAGCAGAAGCAGTTCATCAAAATAACAAGCAAATCATTATTCATAAATATATTATGATATAAAATAGAGTGCCCTGTTTCTGAAAGCTCAAATATTTGCCAAGAAATTCATATCACTTTCAACAAATGCTATTTGTCAGGACATGAGCAGGGGTTGAATCATAATGTCAACTAAAACTTTGTACTATAATTATTATTATTGTTTCATTTTTTTTTTTATCATACTTCAATAAATTATTCAGAAAACCTGTTGATAATTTGTCACACAATTACAAAAAAAATAAATAAATAAAGTACAGGAATTAATTTATTGGGCTAAAATATACGCAAAGATAACAGCATATATCTGGTTCATTGTTGGTGCTTGCATACTAGGTAACACCCATTTTAGTATGGGTGATGTTGTATAGAGTAGAAAATTAGTAGTTTCAAAATTTCAATAAATCCTTACTTTGTGTGTATCCATCAGCAGATTAGCCGTCTTCAAATCTCTGTGAATTATGTTGTTTCCATGCAAATACTCCATACCTTTGCAGACATCAATTGCAAATTTAAGTAATTGAGACAGCTCCAAGACATTATGATTTTTGTGCACATAATCATACAGACTTCCTCCAGGCATATACTCTGCACAAAAGACAGAAACTTCGAAATATATTTTGATAGATTAAATTGAAAAGAAAGGACAAACTGAACAATAACCAGGAGAGGATACCGGTTTCAAAGTAATTAATTACGTATTCCTAAGCTTATATGAATTTAATTTTTCAAAGCAAAATTTAGGCAAAATGCCTTAAATAAGTGAACTAACATTCTTCCAAATATTATAACACACAAAAGGTCGAAGCATCACCAGTTATAAAAAATAATAATGACATATAACACCATCAGTATAATGATGTATCATATGAGTAAATTTAGTTGGGCATTCTCTCACCAGGAGGGAAATAGAGAATGCTGTAGCAAACCCCAGTTAATTTAACTAATTTTATTTTGCAGCCAACATCATCTAGAGGAATTTAAACCCCAAATCATTTAGTAGGTTGAGTTCACTAGAGTAGATGAACAATATCCATGAAGCGAACTAGTTCAAAAATCAACAATGGAATTACACTTGCAGTGACACAGCTACAGAGGAAAATCATCCTAAGCTTGACACCCAAACATTAAGGAAAATACTATATCCACAAAGATATTAACATCTAATAATGACATGAATAGGTGAAAACGGATTTTTTTTATACTTGATTTAAAGATCATTTTACTTAATATCATAAAACAGCAACACAGAAGAACTTAGACATGGGATCCACAATCCCATAATTACAACAATGAGGGTCAATTTACATGACATTTAGAAACCTTCTAAGTCCCGAAACATTGATTTGCATCATGAACAAGTCACATTGAAAATGTTGTGATGACCAGTGTTTTGAGCTAATAAATCCCCTGAAAAGTACTAAATGATGAACATATTAGCACAAGGTCAAGTGATCAGAAGAAATACCATACTACTTAGAACCAAAAGGTACTTGACATTTAAGACAGAAAACAGTTAAGCTTGTAAGGATCCTTATTGTAAATCCTGCAAGATAGATTATTAACCCACACCAGTATAGGACTACTTGTAAATCATGATCAAATAATTCATGTGTTGAAGGCCACATGTCCATCATCAACTGTCTTGCAAATACAACAACTACACTTTAAGCCAAATAAGCCCTACACAACAGGCATTGGATGCAAGAGCATGTATATATAGGACATGAACCATAAATGTTTAAAATAATGAATTGATAATAAGACTACATTCTGCAATGTACAATTTATTTAATAACAGAAAATTTTGTTTAAAACAAAAGAATAGCTTTGACTAAAATGTGTACTGCCCGATATTAAAAACCGAAGGAGTATAAAAATGATTTATAAATCTGAAAGAAAAAAAACATTTATAATTAATATGAAATCTATTTTAACAATAATGCTGAAAAAGATAAACATAAACTACATTTTGCAAAATGCACGCTATAGCAAAAAAAAAAAAAAAAAAGTGGGCACAGCCTGGTACAAAACATGTCACGTATCTATAACTCTTGCAATGTTGCTCGTCTTTACATCAGAGTGGTAAATCATATCTTGTGTATTCCTTGTGATATCAAAAATTTATTTGGATTGAACTCTTATCTGCATATTCAAAAAGTCTTGGTTCAAAAATTAACACATCTGTGCAAAAAAGAGCCCAGGTTCACTAACCATCTGACAAATCTTTTTATCTCAAGCACACACATGAAATTTTCACAAAAAATGTAAAATATTTTAATTTTATAAGAATAAATTAGACTCCATTACCTTAAGGTTTACCAGATTGATAGCAAACACCAAACATTTAACCCCATTAGTTTACATTTGACTAACTATAGTATTTTCAAAAAAGAAAAATCACTTAATAATAGTTAAATATCCATTATTAATTTGTCAAAAAGGTTTTTTATTACTTCCCCTTACAATTTTTATTTTTAAATAATTAATTTATTTGACCAATTAATTTTTCAAAAAAATAAAAAAAATATTGATCTGAATATTATCATCAAGAAAATAAGAAAAAATGACATGGATACTTCTCTTAATTCCTCTTTGCTTTATTCTTTTTGTTCAAAATGGTGTAATAGCTCAATCAAAAAGATCGTTCCAATAAACTACAAAGGACTATATCAATTGATTTAACTACTATCTTCTTATCTCCTTATGTTTTATTGGTAATTGAAATTAGAATATACATACCTATAAGAAACCGATAATAATTTTTGAAGAAAAAAAAAATTAAAATGACTAAACAGAAAAATAAGAAACCAATTACTATGAATATTAAATTATCTAAGTCATTAGAATTATTGAGATGTCAGCTTACCTATAAAACTTTATCTTAATTAATTTTCAATTATAACCATGTTCAGAGTTTAGTTTATAGGTTATATTAATATTTTAAGATTTTAGCTATACATTGAAAAACTAAATTTGGACAAAAATTCATACACACAATGTGTAGATCGCAAGTTCGGTAACAAAATAAAGAAAACTTTAATAATTAACTTCTTAAAATACTTCTCTCTTCTAGTTCAAGTTAAATTTTATTTTATAAAAGTGATTCGCCTATAACAATTCAAATGACTATTATTTATGAAAGTTATAATTGCTACAATTTTTATTTAATAAATTATAAATAAAAAGAAACGAACAAGAGCAATCAAAGCGGATATGAGAAGATATATCACTATTTTTTTCTTGCTTACTTTGTAATAATATTTTAATGTTAATTAATATTATAAGATTTTAACTTATATTTATACAGATTTAATTTTAAAATAAACTAAATATTTAATCAGTGTATGTAACTAATGATTGTATGTATATGAATAAATACATATACTACATATATACACGCATATAAAGAATTATAGATATATTAACATCCTCCACATTTTATATGTAGAGCAAATCTCAACCTTCTTTCTTGTACAAATGATATAGCAATGCCGACGAAGGAGAGATGATACAAACGAAATAATAACTATTGAGAGAAAACAGGTGGAAGAAAATTAAGTTGAGGTACCAAAACAGTGAAATGTTAATTAAATTTTAAAAAACTGGTATCATTATTCACTGCTTAAAAATTTTCTAAACAAAATAAGAGTATTTGGTGTAAAATAAAATGTGGATGCTAATCTACACATGAATGGGTGGAGGTTAGAAATTCTCATACATACATACACACATACATACATACATATATACATATTATATATATATATATATATATATATATATGAGGAGGGATCAAATTTTTCCTAGAGTAATTTTTGATTAAGTTACTCTATTGAATAATCCATAATTTATGTTGAATTTCATCGATCTAATCGTTATCAAGTCTATAAATTTTTGAAAAAATTTGAAAATAATTTGATAATTCATATCGATGAATAATCATAAAAGTATTTTATACATTGATTTAAATCTATATAACGAAATATTATATGTTTCTCGAATTTTTAAAGAATTTATAGACTTTGATCTATACATCAAGAATTTTTAATTTAACGGTTGGATCGATGAAATTTTATATACATCATAAGTTATTGAATGAGAGTAACTTTACCAAGAGTTACTCTTAGAGTAATTTGATCTCTTATATATATGCATATATACATGGTGTTTAAATGTTTCATACATCCTCACACGCAGGATTTCTTGAATCATTTTGACATTTTAAACTTATAATTTCTTCTTTACTTGTGTCAATTAACAATCTTCCCATACCATTTTTTCGGATATTTTAACTTAAGTATTCTCATAAGCATTATTGCGAGAATAATTCGTAAATAAGAAGCCCTGACGATAGTTCTTCCTCAGTAAGAAATAGAATTATTCTGTTAGAAAGGGCCAAGGGGGATATGGATGTTAGTATTTTTTTTTTCTTTTTTTGAATCTCAAACCTTAGGGATGAGATTCGTAATAGTCTTTAGCTATATAAAACATCAAACAATAAGAATGGCTTATTTGTTTCCCCCGTTAAATAAGATAATATACAACAATATATCTGCAGAACAAAATGGATTGATCTATACCTGTTACTATGCACAAATGCGGACACTTTGTACATGCACCAATGAATCGAACAACATTTTTATGATGCACCTGCCTGCATTCAGAAATACAAAAGTCAAATTGTCAAAAGATTTTTAGGAAGAGAAAAGCAGATGGACAGAACCTAAAAGAAAAGATTAGTGATGCAGCCAATTAAGCAGTTTATTAAGACTGATAGCGTTGTGGCATACTAAAACCACTTCTCAAGACTTGTTAGTGTACTTGAACTGATATTTCAATTTATCCTTTACCAATTTAAAATATGTATTCCTTGATAAAAAGAGAACATAATAATTGCCAGTTCAAAAATTCTACTATGCAACAAACAAGAACAAATGTTTTGATAATCTTTTAGAAAGAAAATTCATAAGATTAATTAGAAAAACATATTATGATATCCACTACACAGCATGGCCTTATACTACGAGAAGCAAAATACTGACCTCAGAATTGCTACTTCTTGAGCAAACTCATCCTCTAAGGCATCATTCAATTGCTCAGATCTCAGAACCTTAACTGCAACATCTTCACCGAGATAAACTCCACGATACCTGAGAATGAATCATAAAGCAAATCAGAAGCAAGATAAATACTGTGATATAGAGAAGGAAAAAACAAAGAACTTAAAAAATACATAAATAATTAATGGTAAAACAGCACAACTCACAAATCTCCAGAGGATCCAGATGCTATTTTTTCTCCCAACTTTAGCAACCGCCTGTCTATTTCCCAATCTCTTGATTTTCCTTCTATTGCTAAGGCTTTCTCCACAACTGAATGAGAATTTGAAGAGCGAGACCACGACCCCTAGAGAACGGAAAAGTATTAATTACAATCTTATGTGCCTTGATTGTAAATACCTAGCAAAAAGAGCTACCAACTACAGTTATTACCAAACCCTGGAAATTTGGGATTAATTGCAGATCACTCCCTTAACTTTGGCTAATGTGTGATTTATAAGTTTTAAAATGTGTAAAGAAAACCTCTTGCAGAAAAATGTTTATAAAACTCCATTCAATCCATTAAACATACATTTTTTCACTAAAAAATTCAAGGGTATCTCACATGAACACTTGAAATCGCCAAAAACTCTGAGCAGCAGTGAAACCACTCACATGTATAACCTCTACAGTGAATTTTTCATCATTTTGTTTAACTATGTATTAATTATTATGATATAATATGAATTGGATGGAATTTTACATCAGATATTTTATTTTTTTAAATCAAGTTTATTGTTAATATTATTGTTTTAGTCCAACATCATGGTTTCTAGTGATAGTTTTAAATACATGTTTTCCATTAATGAAGTGGACATATTGAATGGAGCAGGTTTTCTGCACATTTATTACAGGTCAAGGAGGAAGGTTGCCATTTTAAACTTTGGGATAAACACACATCAAACAAAGTTTATGGATAATGAATTTAAAATAAAACAAAAGTTAGGACAGGCTTAATGAATTTCAGATTATGTTATTTTTGGACACTGGTACTCAATAAAGAAATATTAATGTGTTACAGTCATAGGTGGCTTTGACAAGGTTAGTTACTCATATTTGTGTTTTAAGTATTTTTAGAGAGTGGAAAAATAGCCATCAATTTTTTACAGAGGCTTCTTGGAAGCTTTTGTATGAGCAATTTGTCCAGCTTTTGATTATTTTTTTAATTATCTACCTTAGAGGCTTTGGTAGCAGGAAGGAGTGTAAATCTTTTGACAATGGTGCTGTTTAGCAGGCTTGTGTGGTATGCGATGGAAGCAATAAGCTAGGGTTTTAATCAGATTCACATTTTGGCAACAGAGTACCAATTTTTGGTGTCCCTGTGGATATCAACTCTTGATATTATTTTCAAGGAACAGTTTGAAAGACGAGAAGGGGGGTCTATAGCAGATGTGCAGATGGTCAGTCACCTTCTCTTATCAAATTTTTAACCTAAACAAAAGGTTGCTGGCCAGGAAAAATACAAAACTATAAGTGCTTTCCACAATGTATGTTAAGCTTGTCATTTATCAGAGGTCTATTCCTCCATATCCAGTTTTCCTCTCCCATAGGTTATACCCCATACTCATTAGCAATTTTCAAAGAAATTGTAGAGTAATTACATTTCTTTATCATGTACATTCCAGGATATACAAGCCAATGAACATCAAGAATCATTCATTAATTCTTCAGAGACATTCCAACATCTCACACAAAACCAACATAAGAATGTCTAGATAAAAAAGTCAAGGAGACACAATGCACCTCACTTCTTGCTACAGCTTTTTCCATAGCATCATACAAATCATCTGTTTCCTGAGCACAAGATCGCAAAGTCAGCGACATTTGGACTCAGCACACATCCCTGTCATGAGAGAAATATAATAACAGTGCCCCTTAATAACCTACAAGCTTGACTCCCGATATAGACCATTTTTTGTCTGAATTAAAAACTGCGACAAAAATATGTTTTTTTTATAAACAATTGATATAGAAGCAATGTCATCTTACCCAATCTTTCATCAAATCAAGCTCAGATAATTGTAGTAGAGTTCAACCACCAAGTATAAAAGTGTATAATCAATTAAGAGTTATGAAGTGATTGCAGCAACAAAAATGCCATTGTAAAATTAACGTTAATGAATAATTACAGGTTTGAAAGATACAACTTCGTAGAAGTCTTCAAGAGAAAGCAACTAGCATCATTTTCATCATAAGAAGCAGTGTACCTCAACTGGCCATCCATCCACCACAAACACATCAAGCGAATAGCCATCAGTTGTGGAGAAAACATGTGCTTCACGAATGTTAAGTCCAATATCAGACAGCAAAGCGGACAGCTAAAAGAAAATAATATCAGGCAAAAGCAATCACACTATCCATCAATATATTGTCAGGTATTTACAAGCTATAACCTCACACTAGATTATGTCAACAGAATGAAGCAACATTTACACTTCATGCAAGAGAAAGCCCTGATTTCGACACTTAAGCTCTTGTGTAAAATCCACTCCAGTTTTCTCACTTTACCCACTCAAACATTTTTCTACCCAATGCTTCTGGATTATGTAAAAATACAGTAGTATACAATGATATAAATCACTTGACAATATCAAGAAAAAATGAGATAGCAAAAATGCGTATTAGAATATTGGTACCCAATATTCCATATAAGCTTTCATATAGCTTCTAATGGGTTCATTTTATTTATGCTTCATATGACAAAGTGACAACACTCTCCAAAACTTCTAAATAAATCTCTAGTTATCGATTAACTTTTAATTTTGAGGAAAGTTTCCATTTCATTAAGTTCATAGAAGTATGGAAAATAAACCTATATAATATATATTGCCAAGTACATTGCAAAATATTAGCTCATTATCATTGGAGTTTCAAACTTCCAATTGATTTAAAATATACATAAATTTTAAAAATAAACAAAAGATAAGATAAACTCTTCAAACATACCTGGCTTAATAGCTTTGGCTTGTCAACAGAGGAAAATATTATTTCATGAACTGGGACACTTGAATGTTCGTTCCTGTATTTTAAATAGTAATGTTTAACTTATTATGAACGAGCAAAGATATTCAGGTAACATTTGGCATTCAAGTACTACTTCAATTTCAAATATGGTGAGATGCACCTATTGATAAAGACTCAAGATCAAAAATCTAGTCCCTCCAACAACATGGAAGGATAAACTCTATCAGCTATAATGAACATATACCTGAAACTCATAAATCATATAGAAATAACACCAACATATATACACTTGTATATCCTCTAAAATGCACATGATGCTTCTGTTATGGCCTCATAACTACTTTCCTTTTTATGAACCTGTATATGGATTGATGGAAGTGAAAGAACAGCTTCCTTCTCTCATTTGCCCCCTCCCTCTCACCAAAATAAAAATCTTGTCCTTATTTAAGAATTATACATGCATTGAAATGGACAAATGTTCTAGCAACGTAATTTAGAAAATAAGCTTCTCGCCACAAATGCTATCAAAATTAATGCATCCAACAGGCATTTCTACTTCAACTTGTAATTTTCCCTTCCGATAAATTCTTAGTCAAGAAATATTTGCCAAATAAATCTTGGCAACAGATAGAAGTATACTTTCCTGCTCCCCAAAGAGGAAAAAAAAAAAAATCCAGCCATGGCTACCAATTTTAACAAAAATTGTCATACAGCTACTTCAAAAACTAAAAGAAAAAGTAAGAAACAGCTTTATAACTTTATTCAGGTGGTACCTCTGGAAAAAACTGTCAGTGAGAAATTCTCCCTCTGTCTCCTTGGATTTCTTTCTAACATCCAAATTCAGGTCCTCAAGCTTTGAGCAAGGCTCGAACTCATTAGCAATATCCCTCACCTTACTGATGGAAATTATATAAATCATACATTACAAAAATACAGAATTAATATTTTACGCATCAGTTAAAGGAAACCTTCCTGTAAAATGCTCATGCATATATAGTCTATTTCTCTGTTCACTGGATAGCTTACCTTTTACCAGGTGATACAGCTCCCCCATTAGTTGCATGAGAAGATAACCCCAGGCTATAATGAGTACTTAATATTTGTTGATCTTCATCGTCTGCTCTAGTTGAAATATTCTGCCCAGTAAATTGAGAGAATACGTAAATTTGATAGAGACATGAAAAAACTAAAGAAATATGATTGACTTGTTGCTTAAAAAAAAATTAAAAAAAAGTCAAGCAAGTAAAAAAACAACTATTATCAAAATTGAAAAACATAATTAGGAGAAAGAGAACAAAAATGGATGATTTAGAGAGAAAACCAGCAAAGGTCCCATCAAGAAGAAATTGTTATATGGAAGATAGCCTACTAAACAGATGTAGATGAAGACCAAGAAAGAAAACAATCAACAGATGGTACATAGTACATACTAAGAACTACAAATAATTACCACTTACCAACGTAAGCACTTGAGTGTTCAACTAAATATAAAATGTACAAGTTACAAGAGAGAAAGTGAAACCCTTGCAAGAAATTTTTGTAACTAAGAAGCAAAGACACTTGAAGTAATCTAATAACATTTATATTTTGGATAGGTATTTGATATTTACAAAAATCTAAAATTTCAAAATCAACAACATATATAATTCTTCAGTGCTACCATAAGCAACAAACAGAGAAACTGTGAGTATACAAACAAATCACCCAAAAGGTTAAATTTATTGGCTGTATGTTCAAAATAAGATGCTGGCATAACAGTATCATTAATTTTAGGATTCATTGCAAAACTTAAGTATTATTCTTTAGGTGTTGGTGTTGTTCTCTAATTAAATTGAAGTTTCAGCTCAGTAACCCAAGCCAACCTTTACTGCTTCGTTTACCAAGGTAAAACTTCAATTTTGATTGTAGAAAAGCACCACAAGCACCTAAAAAACAACATCCAAGTTTTATCCAGTCAGATTATGTTAGATTTACATGACTCTGTAAATTATCCAATCTTGTTAGTCCACGCTCAGGTCAAGCTGTACCTATATCCAAACTTTTAAAAAAGTCATGTTGAAGATGATTTCTGATTGGTTGACATTGTCCCTAATTGGTTAGGCGGGTCAATAAGCAATTACAGAAGATGAAAATATGGTGGATGTGGACTATGCATCTCCAATAAGTTAAAACTAGGTTACACATGAACTATGCTTCTCCAAAAACTAGCTTTAACTTCGGAAGAAACTTACTTTTTACCTTCTTATTTCCTTTTTTCTGAAAATGTTTCGGGAGAAATCCATTAACCAATTATAAAAATCTCTACACGAACCATACATTACAATTAAAGTCTTATTTGAAAGCTACATAAATAAATATGAATCATGGAAGTTGCTCGAAGAAGATCCAATTAAACCAATCACGGATGATCCTAACTAGTTCAAATTCAAAAATAGCAATAAAAACGGAACTAGAGAAGTACCTCGAGGAAGCGTATATGGTAGACGGGACGCTTGTCAGGGTCCCTTGCCAAAGCAAGAAGCGTTTGATGCAACAGAACGTCTTCAGCTCTGTCGATATTAACATCGAGACCGTAACTGAAACAACAGCAAGAGACTATTACACGCTTCGTTCAACGAGTAGAATCCAAAAATAGTAAGAAGAGAGTGAAATAACGGAACCTCGGAGGCAAGCGATTGAAGTGAGCTTCCAACTGTTCGCGGAACTCGGGATTGGAAACGGCTTGGTCGTGGCCGGTTTCGAGCAAACGGTTGTATACGTCGCTCCTGACGTCGTAGTTGGTGAAGCCGCTGAAGGTGCGCGGCGGCGAGGAACTCTCTCCGACGCCTTCGACCAAATCCATTGTTTCACGGTTCAAGGGAGCATGGCGTGAAGAGTGAGAGAGAGAGAGAGGATCGTTGAGTTGACTGTGGTGTGGAGAGAATCTGAGTGGAAAAAGGAAGGGAAGGGTTTGGTGATTTGAAGGGGAGAAGGAGGGTAATTTGGTCCACCGTCAAGTTTTGTTGCCGCTAAGCTGAGACACGGAAGCGAAAAAGGCGAGATTATAGGAAAAGAAAGAGAGAGAAAAAGCAGGTAATTGGATTGCCGGTGTCGTTCCTCTCACGCTGCTGCTGTTGCCTGTTGCCAATCGTCTCATTGTTTCGGACGGAAAGAAAACGAAACAACACACTAAATATTCAAATTTACATTTTTAAGTTATAAATGATTAAGGGTAATTAAATTACACTGACTTTAGTCCAGGTCGTCTTACATGACATTCTTATTCCCTTTAATCTGTAAAAAAAAAAAAAACTACTAAAAATATACTCATCCTTTGTAGGGGTGAGTATTAAACCGACACCCGAACCGAACCCGAAAAATCCGATAAAAAATATTATTTTTGGGTGGGTTCGGGCGGGTCTTATGGATAAATTAGGTTAAAATTTTGATTTTATACGGGTTATATTGGGCGGGTTCGGTTTTGAATTTTTAAACCCGCCAAAAACCGAACCCAACCGAAAATGAGATAAGTTTAAATTTTTATTACTTTTATATAACTAAACAACAATGGTCCAAACTTAAAAATCTTTATTTTAAGTATAATATAGTCATCAATTTGTAACTTATTTTTTTCCTTTTTCTCATAACTTAGATATTTATTTTGTCTTCTCCTTCCTCATTCAACTTCTCAACACACTAGTCCATTTTTAGAGTTATCTTTTTGCTTCTTTCTTTGTCTTTCTTTTCCATCTTCTTATCTCCATTTTGAGTACATTTTGTGTGACTGTGATTTCTTATGATTTTGTAATCTAACTTTATATTTCTTTTCCATGTAACAACTATGAATTTTGTTATCTTTTATTTTTGCTTCTTTAGTTTGTAAATGTTTCAACTACGAATCTACTTACACCATCTATTGTCACCTTCATTCTATTTTTATACACTATTTTAAAAATATTTATTATCGTTTTAAGCTTCATCTTCCTTAAGATAAATTGGTTTACAAAAAAATTCAAACTCGATTATACCCACCCGCTTAAATCCGAATCCGTTTCAACCCGAACCGCCTCAAATCGAAAGCTCAGTCGGTCGGATATGGGTCACATTTTTTCAAAGTCGGTTTACAATGGGTTGGACATTTTTCACCCGAACCCGACCAAACCCACCCGTTGCTCACCCCTAATCCTTTGTATATATAAGAAACAAATAAATATATTAAGATCAATATAAATATAATTAACTTAACTAATTTTATTTAATAATGTAACTAATTTAAACTTTATTCTATAAATACCATAACTAAAAAATTTAAATAGTTTAATAACGGTTATATTTAATAAACGATTTTCTCATGAATGATAAAAGTTGTAACATTAATTATAATAAGATTTATGATTATATATTCAAAGTCTATTATAATTTTTATTTTACTTTTCTCTAAGGAACCATATAAGAAATTAATATTATAATATTTTAATTTATTATTTACTTAATGATATATATTAAAAAAATTAATAATCCTTAAATAAATACTGATGAATTATTTTAATTTCATTTTTTTAACATAATATTATCATTGTAATTGATAAAATAATCTAAATATAATAGTTTAGGGTGTGTTTATTTATATATTTTATAACATTTATTTGTTGATAAAAATAACATTGACTTGATCATCAAAAAAATAATTAACATTGACTTAAATGTAATGACTCATCTGAAGATGTTTCTATGCGTGGGTCATATGTTAGTGTCCTTCATGAAGTGCAATTTTCATTTCCCCGTACTTCCCAAAAAATTGATAATTAATATTTATTTAAAAAATATGATCGTCTGCATTTATTAATATTTATTCTCTCACTCATATTTTTTTTTATTTGCAAGCTAAATTTTTTATTTAAAAATCAAATTTATGCTTAAATCATCAACTAATATTTTATATTTAATTTTTTATTTATATCTATATATAAAAATGATGTGACATTAAACTTTATTTTGTTAATTATTATGATTTTTTCAATAATTATGTATTGTGATGATTTGGTATTTATTGTTTAGAAACCTCGAGGATTTAGAAAATATTGTGAGTTTTAGGCATTTAAAGATCTTCTTTGAGCAAAGACCCACCTTGATTCTAAGAAAAAAGTATAAACGGTTTTTTTTTTAAGAATTAAGTTTCATAAGTTTAGTTTTTAAGAAAATTTAGAGAAACAAGCTAGAGAAAAGCGCTTTAGAGTTAGTGAATTTTCTCTACATCTCCGAACCTTCTCTTAAGAGGGAGATTCTTTCCTGTAGTATTGATTAGTTATCATTGTTGATTTAGGTCACTAGAATCGTGAATCAGAGTGGTTGAATCGTATGGGGTTTCCTTGAAGGAGCTCAACATTGTTTTCTTCTTTCTCTTCCTTATTTTCAAAATAATCTCAAGGTAAAGGAAGTTAGAAATGATTATTTGTTGAGTCGATGAATTGAATGTTGCTTGAACTACTCAAAATGTGGTTTATTGGTGATTGAATGATGGGTTTTCTTATGTTGTGAAGTTTTGAATAAGTGGGTAGGTTTTTGAACAAATGATGATAAAATGTGTTGCATGTTGTTAAGAGTTGATTCAAGTTGTTGATGATGTATATGAATGATATCTTGCATTACATGTTGAAAATATTTTGGATCTTAGGTTGTTTGAGCAAATTTAAAAATCTGCTAAGTGTAAAATTCATCACCGTGCGAGGCGTGCCTTCATGACGTTAGGCATGACTCAAATTAGGAGTCATTTATTTTACTCATGTTGGGTGTAAGATTGGTGGTGTCGGACATAAGGAGAGAGAAAAATCTTTGACTTTATCACGTTGGGCATGGTTTGAATGGTGCAAGACGTGAAGTGAGAGAGTTGTCTCTGGCTTGGTGATATGGAGCCCCGGGTTGTGTAGCACCCAACGTGACTAAGACAAAGCCTTTTACCAAACTAACATCAAGCACCACTTTAGTGACGTCGAGCGTGAGGATAGATAATTGTCTCTACCTGAAATGGGGTCGATCGTGGGTTTTTTCATGCCAGGCATGATTTTCCCAATGGTTATTTGTTCTCATCCATGACGGGCGCGGGTTGAATAACATCGAGCGCGGGCGAGCCAAAAAGCTCCTTGTCTCAATGATGCTAAGCATAAGGTGAGTGGAACCAGACGTGAGTTGCTTTGAATAAAATTGTTTGATTGAGAAAATAGTGAACATGGATAATTTACGTAAATCTATTGCATGTTGTATGTTAACTAATGTTGTTTATTTTATATACATTAATCAGGGATAATGAATATAGATGAATAATTGTTAAACTATTGAGGCATTGATACATGTTGGGAATACTTTAAGCATTTAGGCATGTAATGTTGATTAATGGTTGAATGGTGAGGTGATGATGCTTTGAGTGCTCAAGGCATTTAGGCATCACGGTGTGTTGTGTGGATTGACTTAAAATTATAGGAAATGGTGTTTTCGAAAGTTGGATACCCCATTGTGAGGATATTGGTGTGGTGCTCTACGAGTCAAGTTGTTGAAAACCCTTTTTGAGTAGTTAACTCTTGAAGTTGATATATTAAGTATTCTTTAGAACCTTAGTTGAAGTGGTGTGTGAGTCAAGTTGAGGCATACCAGCTACAAGTGATCACAATACATGGGCCAAGTTAAGCTATACTGATTATAAGTAACCAATGTTAATTTGTATATAAGCAAGGTCATATGTGTATAAAGTGACCAACTAAGTAAGGTACAAGGTCGAAGACTTATCCCCTAATCGAGTACTAGAAAGACATAGTATTAATTTGGAGGGTAGTCGATAAACTAATCTCCTAGGGGACTTAATGTTGGAAGCTATTGTCGTTGTAGACTCATACCCATGTTGTTTTACTCTAACAAAAATACTATACTTTTTAATTTAAGTGACGACACTCGAGAAACCATGTTATTAGGAATTGGTATATCCTAATTGGTCATTGATCTAGCAGGTGTAAAAATATCATGTTAGTTTGGTATGATCAAGTCACTTAAATTGCTCATCTTTGTTGTAAGAGATTTTCATAGGTGAATGCGTGACAACACATCTAGTTGAGGTGTTATGCATGTGATGTATTGGTTGTCGTGTTGTTCATATGCTTGTTAACTATATGGTTGAATGACAATGGTGTGGTGAAATATGAAATTATCATATATTGTTGAGTTGTCTACCTTGTAAGGTGTTGAATGCCATGTAGTTAAGGTGTTTTGTTATGATGCTAAGTTGTAGACCATGAGGTGTATGTGGTGTGGTTTACATGTTGTTGTGGTAGTATAGTTATATTACTCGTATACTTGTTGTATGATTATTCTTTTGAACACTATCTTGCCTTTTCATGTTTCTTGCTGGTTAAACTACGATGATCATGTTTATATGAGAACACGATAAGGCTAGACTAAATACTTTTGGAGTAATGAAAGCCAGGTTGTTGACAATGTAGTTGATGCTAATTTTGTTGGTGGTAGTTAATGTTGTTTGACTGACAATTTAATATTTTGTATTTTTAGTATTGAATTATTGTGCATATATATA